TGCTCTTAACCACTGAGCCATCTCTCCAGCCCCTCTAAAATATTTTTTAAAAATGAAGTTTGGGAGACTGGAGAAATAGGTCAGTGGTTAAGAGCACTGATTGCAAAGGACTCAGCTTTGATTCCTAGCACCCACATGGCAGCTAACAACCATTTTGTAATTTCAGTTCCAGGGGATATGATGCCCTCTCTGACCTCCTCAGTCACTGCATGCCATGGGTGCACCTACCTACATGCGGTCATAATACCTATACACTAAAAAAAAGTAAAAATAATAAATGTGAAAAAAAATGAAGCTTGGATATTTAACACCAAAATTGTGTTTTGTTTCCAGGATTTAGAAAACTATATACTGGAAATAATTCCTACTTTGCCACAACTAGATGGGTTGGAAAAAATCCTTTTACTCCTTCTATGTTGTACAGCAGTTAGGAAGTTCTTCTTCTTTTTGGACCCTCTAAGAACAGGTAAAACAAAACAAAAAAATCTAATTTAGGTATTATGAGAATATTGTTACATACAGATCTCAATACTAGAGAAATCTTGAAAATTCTCGTGTTTTCTTAATGTCAGTACCTGGAAAATCTCAGAAGAGTAGAAGGACATAGAAGGTAGCAGCAGTTCTTTGGTTTGGGTTTATATGAAGATCTTTTGGGATTTTCTCACACTGACTATAATCAGCTATGTGATGGTAGGATGTTACCTAACCCATTTAGCATTTTCTTATCCTCTCAGCTGTTTTTTTTTAAATTAGTAGTTTCATCTCTGTTCATAAAATGACATAACTTTATACAGATTCTGGTAGTGGGGTTTTAGGAAGAGTATATTGCTTATTTTTACATAGTTGGGGTATACAAGTAGATATATAAAGTTTTATTTCTCTTTTAATGTGTGTGAGTGTTTTGCCTGTATGTAAGTGCAGCTGTGTGTGCAATGCCCATGGAGGCCAGAAGAGTGCATTGAATTCCCTAGAACTGGAGTTAGAGATGACTGTTAATGTGGGTGCTGGGAGCCAGTCCTCTGCAAAAAATAGCCAGTGCTATTAACTACTGAGCCATCTCACCAACCCCTGTTCTCTTTTTTATGAAAAAAAATTTATTTTGCAATATGAGAGTCACTTAACTATAATGTATTTCTCTCTTTCACAAGTTTGTATATGGGGGTCATATTGGTAAATAGGCTTTGTATCAGTATGCGTTGTCAAGTGTTCTAACCTGCCCATTGTCAAGTGTGTGTCACCATGCCCAGGTTGAATACATATAACTGTGGCTGAGGAAGAGACAGAGAAGGCCCAGATCCAAGTCTTCAAGTCTCCTGTCTTTGCCAGTTCAGCTATGAGTCCACCATGACCCATTAAACTCCCAAATACTGGCACATACACTTCTTTCCCTTTGAAATGTTACAGAATGATAGCTTTTTTGACTTTTATGTGCCAAGTACTGTGCTAAGCATTTTACATGGATTCTTTCACTTTTCTCATCATCATATCACAAAGATATGTTATTTTCTGCATTTGTGCATAAAGCAACCAAGACTTGGACTGCATATATATAATCATAGTTATGGAAGTAGCATTCAAACTTCCTATATACCACTCCCCACCCCATCTCCTTTTAACCACACATCTATATTGTTTCCTGTTCTAGAGCCTGTCAAGAAGTCTCCTTGTTGTTGTATTTATTATTTATTTATTTATTTATTTATTTATTTATTTATTGGTCTTTTTGAGACAGGGTCTCTCTGTAGCCCCAGCTGGCCTGGAACTCACTATGTAGACCAGGTTGGCCTAGATCTCGTAGACATCATCTTCACAAAATGACATAACTTTATACAGATTCTGGTAGTGTGGTTTTAGGAACAGTGTATTGCTTATTTTTACATAGTTGGGGTATACAAGTAGATATATAAAGTTTTAAGAAATATTTCCTTTTTGTAATGGAATATTAAAAGGCCTTTGGAACTTAAGAGCTAGAAGTTTTAAAATATTGCCTCTGTAAAATAATGCCTTAAAAATTAAATTGATCTTGTTCTGTAAATGAAATTAAGTAATTGTGCTTCATTATATTTTTTAAAAGGAAGATAAAAATTCAAGATATTTTAGCATGCAGCTTCCTAGACTTCGATCTTAAGGTAAATATGTTCTAAATTACTTAATTATATCACTTGATAATTGCTATCCTCTAATTCTGTCTATGTGTTTCTTTAGCTTAGGGATGAGGAACTGTCAAAAGAGAGTCAAGAAACAAATTGGTTTTCTGCTCCTTCTGCCCTTAGGGTTTATGGTAAGTTCCCATTATGTAAAGTTTCAACTATTCATTCTTCATGTGCCTGGTTTCCAGAGACAGTTTTATACATAAGCTATTTTACCTTAAGATCGAAGTATCCTATTACTTTAAGAATTAGTACTCTTTTTTCTTTCTTTTTTTTTTTTGGCTTTTTTGAGAAAGGCAGCTGGCCTAACTCATTATGTAGATCAGGCTGGCCTTGATCTCACAGAGATCCTCCTGCTTCTGCCTTCCAAATGCTGGGACTAAAGGTGTACGCCATGATGCCAGGCCTTTTTTTTTTTTTTCAAATGTGTATGAGTGTATTGCCTGTATGTGTGTAAATGCACCCATGTCATGCAGTGCCCACAGAGGCCAGAAGAGGGCATCAGATCCCCTGGAACTGAGTAGTTGTGATCTGCCATATGGGTGCTGGGAATCAAACCTGGGTCCTCTGCAAGAGCAGCCAGGTGCCATATGGGTGCTGGGAATCAAACCTGGGTCGTCTGCAAGAGCAGCCACTGCTCTTAACTGCTGAGCCATCTCTCTAGACCCTGTCGTATTGTCTTAATTAGTAATAAAATGCTGTTGTCAGGATTCACAGAGCATTCCAGTGATTGACTGTATTTCATTTGTCTGTTACATTGTTTTGTACGGTCTTCTAACGCTAATTGTGGGAACATCTCTATCTTTAAGTTCATCAAGTTTTAGTGCTTTCTGTTGACTCCTCCCTCTACCTAGTTTAGAAACCTATGAATGCTTTAAATGGTTGCAAACTGGAAACAATAGAAGTGAAATAGCCCAGAGATGGCTCAGTGGTAACCAACTGCTCTTACAGAGGACCTGGGTTCAATTCCCAGCATCCACATGGTGGCTAACAACTGTAACTCCAGTTCCAGGGGATCTGATGCCCTCTTTTGACCTCCAAGGGCAGTGCACAACACAGGTGCACTTACATACATGCAGGCAATACACTCATACACATAAAAAATACTACAAAAAAAAGAAGAAGTGAAAAGGGCTAGAAAGATGATTCAGAGGTTAAGAACACTAGCTGCTCTTGCAGAGGACCCAGGGCCAAATCCAGCATGTACATGGCAGTTAACAACTGTCTGTAACTCCAGTTCCTGGGACTCTGACTGCCTCTAGTGTCCTCTACTGGCATGACACTTGCATAGATGCACGCTATACACACATACACAAATAAAAAACAAAAGAAAAAAAAAAAAAGTGAAATAGCCCAAAGACTTCATGAGTTTTTAAAACTATTTTTAGCTTAATAGTTGTTCTAATCCACATTTCAAGGATCACTGATGATATGCATTATTCTTAGGCCACTACCTTCACTGTAAGGCCATTAGTTTCATTTCATAATCAAAATACTAAGCAATAAAAAATTTTGATAATGTGCATTCTTTGGTGTTAAAAAAATTTTGGTCCTAAGTATCTTCCTATTATCTTTCTTCCCAAGGTCAGTATTTGAATCTTGATAAAAACCACAATGGCATGCTCAGTAAAGAAGAACTCTCCCGTTATGGAACAGCAACCATGACCAATGTCATCCTAGACCATGTTTTCCAAGAGTGTCTCACTTATGATGGAGAAATGGTAGTTATTAAATCTGCTGATAAGTTTAAATTTTTAGGCCCTTGTAGTTTCTACAATCCCTTTTCTTGATATGATTCAACATTTTTTATTTTGTTTATCTTAAAGATAAGTCTCTGGAGCTGGAGAGATGGCTGTATAGTTAATGTATTTGCATACGTGCAGGCAATACATGAATATTCAGGCTGGTCTGGTGCTCACTATGCAGGCAATCCTGCCTCAGCTTCCCAAGTACTGGGATGATGCTACCATACCTAGCTAAGTCTATCAGATTGTATTTACTATGTCCATATCATTAGTGAGGTTAACTAACTGTCCTTTTCTCAAAAGTCTTGGGAATCTGATGAACCCACACTGAAGGACATTTGGGGACACAAATTAGACTCTATAGGCCTTACAGAGTGCATTAAATTGGGTGGAGGGCAGTAAGGAGAGGTTCAGATAGGAAAGGGGATCAAATACTATCAAATTATATTGTATGAAAATCGAGCCAGGAGTGGTGGTGCACACCTTTAGTCCCAGCAGAGGCCAGTGGAACTCTGTGAGATCAAGGCCACATAGCGTGTTCTAAGCCCACTGGGGCTTCAAGAAGACCTGTCTCAAAAACAGACAAGTTAAAGTTGAGCTTAGAGATAGGACACGGGGCTAGCATGTATGAAGCTCAGGGTTTGAACCTCAGCAGGTCAGGTGTGGTGATGCACACCATTTATCCCAGCACTTGGGAGGCAGAGGCAGGTGGATCGCTGTGAGTTCAAGGCCAGCCTGGTCTACATAGTGAATTCCAGGCCCCTGAGGCTACAGGGAGACTCTATCTCAAAGACCAAAAAAAAAAAAAAAAAAAAAAAAAAAATAAAAAAAAAATTCAATAAAAAAAAAAAAAAAAAAAATAAAAAAAAAAAAAAAAAAAACACTAGCCACTGAGATGGCTCAGTGAACAAAGGCACTTGCTACACAAGCCTGACATCCTAAGTTCCATCCCTTGAACCAAAGGAGAGATCAAATTCAAAAAGCTGTGCTGGACTTCCACACCTGCAATGTGGCATGCCACCCCCCCAAACACACACACACCTGCAATGTGGCATGCCACCCC